AGGGATAATATAAGTTGTGTATTCCCTTATTCCCCACTAAGCACCAGTAAGGCGAGAAGCCTTATCCCTGAGCACAGACTTGTAAGATCGGAGATCTTGTCTCTTCCGTCTCGCTTCGATAAAGCCGGAAACTCGGCTAATTGAGGATTCTCGATTATTTGAAGGTTGCAGGCTGTTGAGAAGGTTGCAGGCTGTTGAGGGCCAGATTGGTGTCTGAGCCACGTTCTTCGATTCAAATCTGCTTGGGCTGGTGCCCAGAGCTGCGCCCCGAAAAACATGTCGAAGGCTTCTGTGTCGTCCTCCTAGCGGTCCGATGCAAGTCTTATTATCCTCGGCAGTTCTCTGTCGCTGGCTTTGTAGACCCCCAGAGCTGTTGAGCTGAGGCGCTCTACAGACCCTGCGTTTGAAGCTATGAGGACTCTAAGACCCCTGAAGAACTCGAGGCTTTCTTAGCTTTGGATGCGTCCTGATGCCGCTTGGGCCTTACCGCATCCTACGGCGGCAGTGGCGGCACCAGCATCAACCATCATCAACCCGAAGCATTTTGCCAGCACCCCTCACGTTACGTTGACCTGGAGCCTCGAAGAGACCACGCTAGCAGAGGAGGTCCGCTGAATTACAATTTTGATGACCTTCTCGCCTGGTGGAACACACGGGATGCTCCAGCTAAGCCAGCTAAGTCCCCTAAGTAGAAGATTGTCTTCCGCAGGTTTCTTACTCCCCAGCGCAGCGGCCTGAGTAGTAGGCCCAGATGCCCAAGTTTGCCCGGACACGGGCTTTGCCTGTGCCCTTGCAGGTCGAGACACAATGCACGAGGCTGACTCTGAGAGGTCGGGAAACTTCCCCTGCAGACTGACAGGGACTAGTCCCAAGCTTACGTGCAGTCCCAAGCTGCATGCACTTGGATGTTGCGTGAGGTGTGAAGCCCCAGCCCCAAGATCAGGGGGCCTTACGGATGTCTCCCATATTCTCTGCGAAGCATAAATGCGACACAGCGGAGAAATGGCCAGCGCGGCATAGGGCTGAGGGAACATGCATCCAAGAAGTTCCTTATTTCAGGCAAGATGCAGCACACTGCCCCTTTCTCGAAAGCTACAGTCCCTCACCTCTACTGTTACGGAGAATGCCGATGTGTGGCAATATGCTTACCTAATGTACTGCTGCTCTTTGGTTATGCCATGTTTGTTCGAGTATGCGAGGTGGTGTCAGCGCAGACCAACATGCCAGAAGCTTGATACACAAAGCTACTATTGAATTCACCCTTGAACTTGGATGCCCTTGCCGCTGCTCTTGTGGCCTTTTCCAACTTTTTATGGCTGTAGAGAACTGAGGGTCAATTAGACATCTTAATGGTTTGTTGATCTTGGATAAGGACACATCTGGAGTGATAGACAGGGTTCCATGTTCAATGAGTTCCATGCTCACAGATACCGATGCTTTCAACAAAGTACTCAGTGTGACCATTTGCAAATGATGCGAGGGCTCGGCCAAGTGGGCACAAGCACGTGAATTACAGCTATTGCCTATTGCTTCCGTCGATGTGGTGGGTTGTGTGATGGTGCCAGCCTGCATTTCGTACTCAAGCGCTTCTTGAAATTCATGCAAAGTTTGATGTGTTGAACCCTGAAGCCACAGAAAAGCAAGCCAACAACACAGACCCACATCGCAGTCCTCGTTGCTTCTTGCTTAATGGTGTGACGCTTTGGCACGCGCTTTGCGTGAAAGATGGCGCCGGCGGCAGGACGTCATGTGGTCAATATCTTCCCCATGGTAACCATCCTGTGTCCAGACATGTGGTAATTTCCAGGAACAAGACGATGCCCACATTTAATCGCAAAGAACTGCCTGCTATAATCATGATAGTTCCTAGAAGGAACCGAAAGCACCCTACCTTTCGAAAGAAAGATTGGAAACCTTACTATAATAATAGTAATAATAATAATAATAGTAATAATACTAATAGCAATAATAATAATAGTAATAATAATAGTAATAGCAATAATAGTAATAATAACAATAATAGTAATAGTAATAATAATGACAGGACTGGAGGAATGCTTGGTCTCCTTGCAGCACTGGCGACAAGAATTGTCCACCCGATTGGAGGCCCTTAGGTTATGGAGTGTACACGGCTTCACAAAATTAGGTGTACCCTATTTGGGGTCCCCATAATAAGGACTATAGTATATTGGGGAGTTTCTCAAAAAGGGGATACCCTAAAAACCCCAGGGGATATATAGGGATTATATGGGGATTATGGGGGTCCTTATTAGGGATTGTATAGGGATAATATTGAGAAATACCCATAGGAAGTGGCGTTGGTCTTGGCAGGCTGTGGAAGAAGCTTATGGGGAAATGGCAGCGGCCATTGATTCCGTTCCAAGCTGCATTTTAGCCGATGCTTCTGCATGCCACGTGCCCAAGGATGCCTCAAGGGGTCTGAAAGAGGCGTTGCCCAGGAAAACAGAGTTGCCTGTGGGGCTTTTAGGATGATTCCTAGGGATCTAAGTATGCAAATAATACGTACCTATTACCTACATTGGGCTATTTGGATCCCTAAGGGAAGATCAAGACAACGTAGACTTGGCTTTTTCTTCGGGAGGAGTGGGAGCTTGAATGAGTTCAATGGAAACCCCCAACAACATAATATATTAGTTTCAATTCTCCACTATCCCTATATAATCCCCAAAACCTATATTATATAGTATGGTATCTCCCTGTTCAGGCCGCTCCTCCGAAGGTTGAAGAGAAGTTCGAGCTCACAGGGGGACATGTGCCACAACTGGTTGCTGCAGCGCCGCGAAGCCGTGAGACCGAATATTCCCAATCCAGGATGAGCAGTAGCCAACCCACGAGAGGTCCATTGCCAGGGAGAGAAGGAAGAAGCTATTTATGAGAGGTACCCCATTGGGGTCATTTCGGGATAATGGAAAAGAAAATGGAAACTGCCATAATTATAGGGGTTATATACGGGGGAGCTATTCCTTCAATTCCTTCACCTCCAACTCAAGCACTAGTCAGGTGAGGGGAGGTGGGGAAAGTGGTAGCCCGGGTAGCCTCAAATTCTTGCCTTCAGGCTTCAGGATACTTGAAGACTGGCACGAGGGGTTCGTGGTCAACGAAGCGGAAGCAACGATGATGTACAACTATTTGTACAGCAGCTTGTATGCAATTATCTTGTGAAGCCCACTGGCGCCTTGTTCAATGGTTCAGTTTCAAAGTGGCATCGTTTCGTCCAGCGTGTACTACAGCTAAACCTTAAACCCTGAACCCTAGGCCAGCAGCATCAAAAGCGCCGATCGGGCTATGACAGGGCCCCATCTGCGACACTAGCCCAGAAGTGATTCTTGGCCTCATCTTTGGGTTTAGGTTTTTGTTTTTTTCTTTCGGTTTAGGTTTTAGGGTTTACAGGATTTAGGGTGTAGGGTTTAGGCTTCATAGGATTTAGGGTGTAGGGGTTAGGGTTCATTAGAGGGTTTTGGCTTTATAGGGTTTAGGGTTTACAGGGTTTAGTGTTGAAGTTCTTCTTGGTAAGAATCTGAGATGCGTCTTAGTGAGTGGCAAGAGTACCGGCATTCCTAAAATACTTTCTCTATGTCCTTAAATATACCCATAGTCCCCCTTAAGTTAATAGAATATGCAACTGACCAAAAACAAAGTAAGATCCCCATATACATCATGTTCTCTCTACTTAAGGGGAACTGTAAACGACAGACCCGGAGGCGCCAGGCAGTCATTCTTGATGTCCTGGGTGGACTTTATTTGGGGCATCATGACCCTGGTCCTCGTCGCCATTGATGCAGTCTTCCTTCCCGTATCTCTGTCTTGGCCAATCATTCAAAGCGGAAGCTTCTTGGCACACATGGATCTGTTTAGGCGGAAAAGAGCCGTAGCTTCCAGTTTCTTTTCCATTATCTGAACAAAACCCCAATATACTATAGTAGTTTCCCAGCTTATGTTCCATTTTCCCAATATATCCATTAATTTATTCCTTGCCAGACAGAGAAAAGTCTGAGGTTTCCTGGACCTCTACTATCAGGCCATGAGCAAAAACACCGCTTCAAGGGCAAGTCCCTAAACCCCCTTAACCCATTGCTTGGGTTTTTTGAGGGTTTAGAAGGTTAGGGTTTAGATGGTTTAGAGGCTTAGGGTTTCGGTGTTTAGGGAATAGTGGGTTTGGGAGTTTAGGGTGTACAAGCTTTAGGGTTTCTGCAAGTTGCCTCTGACTCTGCAGGTCACGCCCGGACTGTGGATTTCCGATATTATCGTGGCATTTCTGCTGGCTTTGACTTCAGTCCCTGGAGTTCGGTGGCAGAAGTGCAGACAGTATCTTTGCAGCTTGCCTCCTATTATTGCTATCATACTCTGGTAATGATTGTTGCCATCGAAGTGAGATTATTCGCGTGATGCTATTGATTGTTTTTTTTATCATCTTTATCATTAAAGGCAGTAAATCCCTCAGCACCCAGTTCCCTAAAACTAAACCCTAAAGCCATTTCCTGCTTCTGATCGGAGGCTGGCGGTTTCCCTTCGATGTGTCCCTGGCCCGGGCCTCAGAAAGGAAGGCCAGATCTCAAGCATCGTCCTGATGTGGGACAATTAATATGAGCAATAGCAATACTAGTAATAGTACTAATGCTACTAGTAATTGTACTAATAAGACTACCAATAATAGTGAATAACAGCAACAATAGCAAGATTCGTAACAATGGTAATTGGATTCCTGGGAAGGAAGCCAAGCCTGGAGACGTTTCCCCCTGTTTTGAGAAGGTACTTGTGGATCTGACGCTTTTGGCGCAGCTGATTCCGGATGACTTCAAGGTCCTGACTCTTCTGAGACTCTTGCGGGCTGCCAAGTTCAAAGCTGTCATGGCCTTGGCTTTAGGGTTTAGGGCTTAGGGTCTCTGAGCTTTCCGCTGACTTTGGAGTATTTAAAGGCCCGCGCCTTGGCAACCCTAAACCCCAAGCCCTAGAAGCCCTGAACCTGAACCGGTAAGGTCATGGGGGCCTTCGAGAATCGCTTGGCTGCCTCAGGGAACATCACCTTCGTGTACTACTCAACCATCATTCAGTCAGGCTGATCTGGGGAAGGGATTTAGATAAGGTGGAACTTCCCAGTAATAGTGACTATAAGGGATATTCCTACTATACCACTATTAATACAAGGTGGGGGGTCCTCCTAATTTATAGAGTTGAGTTTAAGGCGATGTTTGTGTGTGTGTGAGTTTCAGTTGCTGCTGAAGGTGACAGCATGATAGGTACAACCCCCCCAAATGATATCTTTGGGACCCCCGCTGCTAAATCCTGATCCCTAGACCCTAATCCCCGCAGAGAGAAGGTCCGATGTTCAACAAAAAAATAATCACTAAACCTTAAACCCTAAGCCCTGAACCCTATAAACTTCAAAGCCTATCAACCCTAAAACCTATAAACCCTATGAACCCTATAAACCCAGAATTCAGACATTTGAACCAACTCCCAAAAGCAGTTCCAATGCCTTGGCTGTGCTTGCCAGTCGCCTCGGTGCTGGTCGTTAACCACACATTGGCCTGCGCGATCTTCTACTTAGGCCTGGGTGTAGGGGTTTTAGGGTGTAGGGTTTATAAGGGAAAGGGTTTAGGGAAAACAGATGTAGGGTTTAGGCTTTAGGTTTCAGTGTTTAGGGCTGGGAGTTTGGGGTTTAAGGAGGAGAGAGGGAGCCTACCTCCATGGTTACTGTCGCTGTGAGGCAGGGTGGGACAGCAAAATGGGATGGCGAACTGGCTGGATACCTATGAGATCCTAGCCTACACGGATTCCTTCCAGTACATGAACCTTGCCAGCACTGCATTTGGGCTTGCTGCTTGTGTGCAAAATGCTTTTCTGAGAATTCGAGTAAGCCAGGATGTCATTCAACTGGGTCCTCGGTCAGTACACACCGGCACCTTTCCCTTATAGAGCGCAAAACGAGATCGAGGAGGTCTTGATCCTCGCACCTGGGAAGTACTTATGCATGTGAACAACCCACCCTCCTGTCACCTTGGGTTTTGCTCAGGTCATCATTCTCAGTTGCCTGCCATTGCTGGGTGCACAGATCGGGAAGATCACAGGTGACATGGCTTTACTCATGAAGCGTATCATGCGGTCTTCCTTTGATGGCTAGTCACCCATGATCTACGCATGGCTTCGGGCTAGTTTTTGGGGATCAGGTCCTTTGATTCTTTGGCTTTGGGCTTCTTCATAGCCGCTATGTCAAAGCTTCTCTGAGGAGCTCCTTCACATGAGCCACTGTCTAAACCCCGTACAGGGGGGTTGCATAGGGGATTATTGTGGGGACCAGTATACGGGTTATTAAGGCGGATACTAGGAGTGTGGACTATAGCTCCTTTAGACATCATTCTTCAGCAGAGTCAACTTCGACCTGCGTTGCCCACTTCCAGGTTTGCTTTTCTGCGCAGACACGCACGGAGAGTTCGGATGCTTCAGTGCTTCTTTTATCAAGGGGAAGGAGCATGGGGCCTACCATATCTTAAAGCAAAACATGTTAGTGTCCATGTTCTTGTACCCGAGTCTCTGATTCCAGCGTGAAGGGGAGAGCTACAAGCCTGAACTCAAAAGCGCCTCCCCGACCCTTGACCCTAAAACCCTAAAGTCTAAACCCTAAAACCTAAACCCTAGACTCTAAACCCTAAACCGCATCGCAGGCACCCTGAACTTGATGAACGAAAAGGCTAAGGAGCCGTTGAAGCTGGCTTAGTGCAGAAAGAACAGAAGGTTTGGGGATTTATGGGGACAAATGGGTTTAGGGTTTGGGGTTTAGGGTTTAAGGGTAGGTTTGAGGATTTATGGGGACAAATGGGTTTAGGGTTTGGGGTTCAGGGTTTAGGGTTCAGGGTTTAGGGTTCAGGGTTTAGGGTAGGTTTGAGGATATATGGGGACAAGTTGGGTTATATTGCGGTTATAGTGGGATCATGGAAGAGAAAATGGAAACTACAGGGATTATATAGGGTTTATATATAGAATAATCTATAGAAAGGGTATATATTCGGGTTATATTGGGATAGTGGAAAAGAAAATGGAAACTATGTTGTAGGGGTTATGATATTGTGTTTAGGGTCTGGGGTCTCTTTAATTTTAGCGAATTTCGTACATACATACACACACAGACATCTACATGTGCAGGCTGTAGTATTGAGAGTCCTGAAATGATTTCTACAAGAAATGCCCATGCTGAGAACTCTGTGAGATTTCCAAACGATCCATTCCACAGGAGCGCGACTACGTGAGGAGGGACCTGCGGCGCTGGCTCCACAAGACCAAGGCAGGATAGAGGATTCAGGGTTTAGGTTTAGGGTTGAAGGTGTAGGATTTAGGATCGAGTGGGATTGAGGGTTTAGGGTTCAGGATTGGCGGTTTAGGGTTTGGGATTGGCTCAGGGAGGCTTTAGGGTTTAGGGTTGAAAGCAATTCACAAAGGACTTCTGCATAGGCCTGACTCAGGACCAGAAAAGTTCAAGCTGCCAATTTAACTTCCAGCTGAGTCCTCCGAAAAAAGCCTAATAGAAAGCCGCGCAAGCAAACCCGCATCTCAGCTGCTGCCAAAAGAGTCCCTTTAATTGAAATCCAAATGGCCCAATGTTGGCATTATGAAGCTTGAATGTAATTTTGCATGTTCTTCTCCATGTGATTCTCCATTTCTGGGGTTAGTTGTATACCCCTTTTCTTCATGAACTTCCACAGACAGGGCCCCCTAAACTCTAAACCCCAAAGCCAATAATTCTACGAAGCTCTTTGGACTCAACATCAAAGAGTCCAAACCCTATAGTAGTTTCCATTTTCTTTTCCATTATTCTATTATAACCCCAATACTATAGTAGTTTCCATTTGATTTTCCATTATCCCAATATAACCCTATATATTTCTTTGGAGGAACCTTTGCTCTCAGGTGCCCAAGCAGCTCAAGGAGTTGCTCAGATGCATCAGAGATGCGAGAGAGAGCAAAGGTCTCCTCTTCCCTACGTGGGGTAATTCATGGGGCAGGTTTAGGGTTTAAAGGTTGAGGGTTTGGGGGGTTTAGGGTTTAGGGGGCTTTGGGTCAGGGTTTAGGGTTTAGGGTTTAGGGTAGGGTTCTAGGCTACAGGTTTTCAGGTCGAGGATTGATTAGGTTACAGATTTAGGGTTTCGGGTTCCGGGTACAGGATTTTTGGGGCCTAGGGTTCAGCGTTCAGGGTCTGGAGTTCAGGGTTCCGGGCTGAGGGCTCCGGCAGCAGTACTACGTACCAGTGGCAGTAATACGAATGCCGGTAGTACGAACAACGAGCGCTAGTGCTAGCAAGAACCAGGATATCATCGCACAAGGTGGAAGCATAGCCGTGAATTCCAAACAGCAGTGACAACAGAACTGCTGTACTCAAATTCATAGCCTACAGGATAGATGGCCAGTCCGCTTGAAGAGTGAAATGAATCATACTTGACTTTGAGGCCTAAATAGTCAATGATGCTAACCCCGTTTTCCACTCTTATAACTACAGTGTTATATGGCCCAAAACCCTGTTGAAAATTCGTTCAAGCTGTTGGCTTCCCGAGGCGCATGTCCAGGTCCCTGGACGAAGTACTCAACTCCGCAGAATCACCATTGGATGTCAAGGAGCCCATGGCCCTGAAGCTTACACTGTTTAGGGTTTAGTGTTTTGGGATCAGGATTTAGGGTTTAGAGCTTTGGGCTCAGGATTTAGGTTTTAGTGTTTAGGGTCTAGGGTGCAGGAGGGATTGTATTTAGCGATTTTTATAGCTATCTGAATCCCTCCCCCTCTCCCAAAGAAACACAAGTAAGGAAATTCCTGCCAAGCACTCTGCTGGAAGAGCTCCGAGTCGTAAAGACTGGTGAGACACTTTCCTTGCATCCGCTCCTCCGGATGCTCATGGACGCCACTGGCCAGGGGTAAAGTTAACGGTCCAGGTGTTGGTTTAGGGTACGGGGGTTGAGTGTTTAAGATTCAGGGGTTTAGAGTTTAGGGTTTAGGATTTTGGGGTTTAGGGCTTAGGACGCAGCTGGCCAGCAACCACATAGCAAGCTCAGTTCAGCAGCTAGGGAAGCTTCACAAGCATAAACGTCCTCATAGGTTTTAGCAGTCCCCTAGAAAATCCCCTATGTAACCCCCTCAGGGTTTAGGGGTGAAGCTTGACTTCCCCAACATATACTATGTGTAATTGTTGTTGCCAACATCCCTCGGCGTTTCAAGGAGAGGCTGCTTCTGGCTGGCCGTTTGGTCTCGGCATTCCGAACCCAGGTGGAAGTAGCAGGCGAGCGCGTTTTCGCGGCCGGAAACCGCGCAGAAGGAGCACGATTCAACTGCGGACTTCCCAACAAAACGAAACTGCTGAGGGGGGCTGATTAGTTTTTTAGATTGAAGAGAGTGTATAATATAGTATGTACCTCCAGAAAAACTAAACTTCAACGTTGGAATAAGTACTTGGGCGCCTCGCGCAGGACTGCACGTCACCATGTCGGGCAGCTTCTCGCTAGTTCTCCAGGAGGCCTGGGCATTTAAACCCTGAACCCGAAGACCAACTGAAGGGGTCTACAACCTGAACCCCTATACCCATCCTGAAGTCTCAACCTTGGGCCCTGAACCTCTAAAGGCCTTAAGTCCTAAACCCTGACTCCGGCAAAAACTAAACTCCAAACCCTAAGTCCGAAACCCTTATATATACCAAAAATCAAGCCCTACAGCCCCCTCACCTAGAAAATATCCTATTGCTTTCCAAGGAGGCAAGCATCGTGCAGTCAGCAGCTGGTTTGCTGTTAAGGAACTTAATCTAAGTTGCTATATTGGGGAAACCCTATAAATACTATAAATATATATATATATATACATTTTATGGTAACTTAATTGAAGCTCCTGAACTCCCTTTCTTACACCAGCTTCCATTTCATGGTCCATGTTCTTTTCCATTGGATTCTCCATTATAGTGCGAATAGAATCCCTAAACCCAACTTAGCTTAATTTCCTTCATCCCTATATAATCCCCATAATCCCTATATAATCCCTATATAACAGCAACCCAGGAAGCCGGCCTAAGATCCAAGTCCCTGTCCCCGGAGTCCCACAACCTGGATGTGCCCCATGGGACCTGGTTGGGAGAATCTCGGACGTGGGAGCTAAAATCTAAACTCCTCAAAGGGGGAGTCATTTAGGGTTTACGGGTGTAGGGTTTAGGGTCCGAACTCCTTAAAGGGGCGTTATATGGGGGATGATATAGACGACTGCTATAGGGGTTATTAAGGGGGATACTAGGAGTGTAGTTTAGGGTTTAGGGACCTTCAGGGTTAGGGGTTATCGAGTGAATCGGGTTTAGGGGTTTAGGGTACTTTCATAACATACGTGTTTCGCATCCTTCTTCGTGGTTATAAAGCATGGCAGATATGATCACCATTTTTGGTTTACGATTAGGACTGCTTGCGCGGGTTGCGAATGTTTTTTATGATGTCATACGTTAGGTAGAAAGACCAACCCTGCAATAGTGAGATTTAGTGATATAATAGGGAGGACCCCAGTATATAATCACCAATATCCCTTGTAGTCGGGATTTTTGGGTGGGGTGGGGGGGAGGGGGGGGGGGAAAAGTGTGCACCAAAGTCATTGTCATCGTGCTTCGTGAAACCAATATAACCCCATGATGGTAGTTTCCATTTTCTTGTCCATCATCCCTATAGAACCCCAAAATACTATAGTAGTTTCCGTGTTCTTTTCCATGTTCCGCAGATGTTGCTTTAAACCCTAAACCCCAAATTCAAGGTAGTAGTTTCCATTTTTCCAGTATCCCTATATAAACCCTATATAAACCCGATATAAACCCGACATAACCCTATATAACCCTATATAACCCTATATAAACCCCATATAACCCTATATAATCGCTATATCTCTGTTACTTTGGCGTGGGGGCTTTGCTGTTCAGGAGCTCTGCCTCTACACGGAGATGTTGCTTGGCTACTCTGAATATCTAAGGCTGGCAGCTAGGATCATGGTTAGGGTTTAGGGTTTAAGGGCTTAGGGTTTAGGATTTAAGGGTTTAGGGTTCAAGGGTTGATGAGTTTGGGTTTAGAGATTCAGGGTTAGGGGGATTGCGAATCGCAGTTTCAACACATGATTTTGAGAGACAAATGCAAGTGGCTAGTCTTTCTGCTCGCTTTGGCAAGACCGCGCAGGAACCATTCAGCTACTCTCACATGCCTCACCTATGCCAAGAGTCTGGGAGTTTCTTGCGGCGATTTCTTGAAGGTGGGAAAGTGTCACTGTAGGAGCCTGGATACTGCCATGAGCCAGAGTCTAAATTCCTTAAAGGGGGGTTATATCGGGGATTGTACAGGAGACTCTTTTTTAGGTTTTACTAGGAGGATAACCTCTCTTACCCCCTAATCTTGAATGAAAATGACCCCCTAAATCTACAAGTTCCTGTAGGGGTATGCAGTGTACATCAAGAAGCATGGGAGCAAGAGAGCAATGTCAAGAAGAGTTAAATGGTATAGTAGCTTCCATTGTTTTTCCACCCCTCACTCTCTATGTACACAATCTGTATATCTTTCTTTGTGTATGCGTCCCAGTCCATCCCGTGACCCTAAGTGCTTTAAACCCTAACCCAATCTGAGCCATAGTCTATCCCCCTTAATCACCCCCATAATAGTCCCTTGTATCGTCCGCTATATAACCCGCTAAACCCTAAACCCTAATCCCTAGACCCTAAACCCTTTTCTGAGTAATTCCCAAAATTATGGGACTCTTTTGGTTATAAGCTATATTACGGTACCTAATATTTAGGGCAACCAAAATGGGACCCCAATTGTGGGAATTACCTATATGTATCACTGATCAAATCGAAGCTTAGCAGCCCAATGGCAGGCCATGAGGGAGTCCCCCGCAGCCATGGTCGCCATCCATGAGTGGCGCGGCGTTAAAGGATTCTAGTCCCCCTTAAGTAGATAGAATATGGCCTTGGGCATATTATGATAAGATCCCTATATACCCCATATTCTATCTACTTAAGCGGGAATGTAGGGCTCAGGGTTCAGGGTTTAGGGATGAAGGTTTAGGGATTAGGGTGTAGGGTTCTAGTCTGTCAATATGTATGGGATGTACATACAACTATGACCATAGCTCTATCTACTTGAGTTCTGACAGTGCCTCAGATTTGCTTCAATGTACTTGAAATGTGAAACATTATTGAACTGGCGCCTGAAGACCAAGATCTCTAGGGCTGTGAGAAACTCTTGCCGGTCCAACTTCAGGATTATATAGTCGTACCGTCTGGGTATTCCTGAAAGGATGAGACCGGGTTCAGTTTGTTTCTTCTTTTCATAGTAATAAACTGGATTTCTTAAGGTCTGCTTCAGGTAGCTCCCTGCAAGGACCAGTCGTTTCCCAAAACAGGGGGACCCCAATATAGACCCCAGTAATTACAGTCCTTATAACGGGGACCCTCGAGAAGGTATCCCTAATTCTGGGAAACCCTCAAATCTGAATGCAAGGTACGCAGTGGAGCTCCTGAAGCAGCCACTCTGACAGCAGAGGAATACCTCGCGCATTCGTTCACGTGGACCTTTTTCGGTGTTCTGAACGTCGCGCTTAAGATCCTTTCTGAGGGGCTCCCCTGCAAGTTGGTGTACCCAAACCCCAAAAATGTGCAGAATAATGGCCTTTCGAGCTATTTTGGGGGTGGCTTTGAGCAACTAATTTACCTACTTTTGGGGTTGAAGTGCTTGTGATTTTGCGTACCTGTCTGTCTTCACTTAGGGCAGGCCGGCCGTGGGAAATCTTGCCCGAGGCCCAGGTGGAGGAGTGTGCGACTCATGCTCAATTGAGCGCCCCTCGGCCTTTATTCTTAGTATCATTAGTCTTCTTACTACTATTATTGTTATTTCTATTCTTATCTTTTCTACTATTACTGTTACTACATCAAGAACTCCCTGCAGAGCAGGGTGATGGGTCGCATCAAAAAACTGCAATCGCTGCAGAGCCTCGCATCTTCCTCAATTGTTCTTGGTGCTTTCTTTACCACAAAAAGACCACAACAGCACCCCGAAGAACTCAATGCAGGGTGCCTGAATCAAAGGAGCTGCTGAATCCTGGGACAAGTCACATCCATCACATGAAGACCAGCGAGGCGCGAAGAGTTTAGGCTTTGAGGATTTTGGGTGTCAAGGCTTTTGGCTGGTTTGGGGCTCAATCTTTTGGGGGTTCCACAGGGCAGTTTTGAGGTAAACACGGGGACCCCTGTCTATGGCAACATCTTGGTTTCTATTCTACCAAAAATCTCCACAGCAGCCCTGAAGTACTCCTGGGTTGTCACGTGGAGCACTCATTCCGGAAGCCAGAGCAATCAATCCTGGGTAACCACCCCCGGTTTTCAGAAACCTGAGATTACGACCTTCGCCCAAACAAGCTCTAAGAGGATGATGATGAGGATTCAAGGCATGCTAGATTCGCACGCACAGGTGGATTTTATACAGCTATCTTTCCTGTGCACACACACCTCCTTCTCGGGGAGCAGTCTGTTATGTTTATACTCAGTGGGCAGGTTCTCAAGGAAACTCAAAACTAATTTCAAAGACTTATGATGTTTCAACTTCATGCAGACATGGCATGCGTGGATGAAGTGCTACTCAGGTGGTGCTAAGGCAAGATAAGTTTTTCTATTTGTACCCTCCAATGGCAGATACATTCAAGGGGGCTGGTCATTGCAGATGGCGTTAATGCGCACTGCCTGCATGACGCACCTGTGTCTACACTTTGTGTTTATATGTTATGTCAGCATTCGTTCTTCATAGTCCCTTCCCTACGGACAGGAAGCCGCACTCAGAAATGCAAACCCTCCCCCAAAAACACGGCCTAGAGATCTGGATTTTGCATTGGCTAAGCTGCAAGGTATCTTACGCCTGCTCAAAAAGTCATTACTTGTTGCTTCTGCCCTCACTTGGCCTGCTGGTTCTGGAGAAGCTCGAGCGGTTGGAGGAAAACGGTGGACCCCTATACTATGTTCCATTATTCCCGGCTAAGAACCAGTAAGTTGGAGGCTGTGGATTTCACAGACTTCGTGGAGGGCCTGATCTCCCGGTCTCTGCCAGTGGAGGCTTGGGGCTGTGCTCGCAGATGAGTAATTATCAATACACTGGTGCAGAAGATAGGGACCATGTGAGCTACAGTCTAAAATCCTTAAAGAGATTTACAGAGAGATTATGCAAGGGGGTTAAATCATGGATTACTAAGCAGGATACTCAGAGATTAGATGTATAGCTCATAGGAGGATGTATGGAATGGAGAGGGCTGCATGGAGATCATTTCCTAAACCCCAAACCCTAAACCAAAAAAACCCTAAACCCCAAACCCTAAACCCTAAACCCCAAACCCCAAACCCTAAACCCTAAACCCTAAAGCCAGATGTTCCAAGAGCCCATTTCAGGAGCTCTGCGCACAGATCAAGGGAAAGGTGGTCGAGTTGAGGGATGGCGGCATCTACGCCCAGCTGCAGCATCATGAAGCTATTCTGCACCCTGTTGGGGTTTAGGGTTTTGGGGTTTAGGGTTTGGGGTTTAGGGTTTAGGGTTTAGGGGATATATTGGGGTCATATTGGGATAATGGAAAAGAAAGTGGAAACTACTACTTAGGGTTTAGGGTTTAGGGTATAGTCCCCTTTAAGTAGATAGAATATGGCTTTGGCTATATTGTAATAAGATCCCCATNNTTCTATCTACTTGAGGGGGGCTACAGACCATTGAAAGCTCATGCATTACAGCCCCACTCACATCTCCTAGGATGAAGCGAAGCGCGCCATTCTCTCGGTCCTCAGCATGCTTTGGCTACTGAAGGACAGGAAAGCAGGTAGAACCCAGTTGTAATTTGAATGTCCAAGTATGTCCAATTCATTGTCTCCATTCTCCATTGTTGGGGTAATATCCTTTTATATCCATATGTGAAATGGGGGGCTCATCAGTAATCATCCCAAAGTGGAAGGATCAACTCCCATGTGGGTGGTTGTCAAAATTATGAGCCCTGTTTGGATCCCTATTGTAGTACGGCACCTAATATTTTGGGTACCCAAAAAGGGACGCAGACCATGATTTTGACAACCACCCATGTGCCAGGGGGACTACGACCAGATCGTCTCCTGTCAAAAGTTGCCAACAAGGCTTTCTCGGAGCACGTGGACATCCATCAAGGACACCACTTGGAGGGCCAGGGGGACTTAGTAAGTAGGTTAATACTGGGGATATTTAGGGTTACTATATGGGCTATAGGGGTTATTAACCTACTTACTAAGTCCCCCTGACCCTCCAAGCAAGCTGAAAGCACGGAAGAGCAGATGGATGATCAAATGGGAAATCAACAGCTGGGAGTGCCTATGGTATTTTATGGAATGGAACAATGCAAGTTGAAGCCAGCATTCTACGGAAGTCATATTATAGAATGGGAAATCATCTGCAAGCTGGGGTAGTATAGGGATTTAATAGAATGGAAAATCAAATGAAGGCTGGGATGATGTAAGGGCTTACAGAAAACCCTAAAAATTTAACCCGAGGGTTCAGGAAAATCAGATGCAAGTCTGCCTTTATCGTGATTCTAGAAAGATTAGTATGAGAGTTGTATGTGAAGGTTGAGTCAAGCCCATATAATCTTACCACTACTTAGGGTTCTCAAACTTTTTTAATCTGAAACTCTCAATATCTTACCCTAAGTGCCTAAGTAATAGTACTAAGCCCTAAACCAGTAAGTTAGGCCAAGTCCGGTTCACCACAGGAGCTCCTTTGCTGGGACATGACGTCATCACAGCTGATGGCCTTAGTGGTACTCCTTTCTGTACGCCGCGGCCCAAGATGTGGCCCTGTCTCAACATGTCCCCTGTAACTCGCCTCAATTCGCCCCCATCCAGGCGGATTGAGCAAAAGCGCCGACTTCACAAAGCTGTGTCCTCCAAGTGAGCGGCGCAGCCCGGAGCTTGCCGCCGGCTCAGACTTGCCCTTTGCCCCATGTTTCCGAGTTCATAAAAGAAGTGCTCCTTTTACTGTTCCTACAAATAGTATGACTCGCATTACTGTATTAGAATTGTTTTGCATACCACTACTAGTACTTTAAACCTCCTACTGCTGCTGCTGCTGCTACTACTACTACTACTACTCCTGCTGCTGCTACTACTACTACAACGACGACTACGACGACGACTACTACGACGACGACGACGACGAGTACTACTACTCCTACTGCTACTGTTTCTACTACTATCATCCAAGCAAGGTCCTGGAGTATGCTGTGAGCAACTTGAAGTCTTACCTGCCATCTCTGGCGGGGCTTCCGGAGGAGAGTGCGGACTACGTGACATCCACGGAAACTCGGCTTAAGCACCTTTAAACGCATGCCCTCTGGACCTATCGTAGTCCCCGTGTAGGGAGGTTCTGGGGTTTAGGTTGTGAACGCCCGAATTCCATTCCACAATCCCCAGCACAACAACCGGTCAGAAAGGTCCGGATGCTGGGGCAGTTCAGCTTTCCGCAGTTCCTCCAGGGCGAGAACAATCCGCATTCTGTGTGGATGCTCCAATCCTGCCTGAAGCAGGAAGATGAAGTGGTCTTTAAGAGCCCCACTTGCAACCCAGGTAAGTGGGGAACATCTTCCAGTCTCTTATAACTACAAGTATGGATAACACCAGTGCTCCATTATGGAGATATTACAGCCAAACCTCTGGGACTGAAGCCTGGAGCTCAGGGTGTTCCTGATAATCCTTGCATGAAATAGGGTTTCTTGTATGGTCTTTGGTGAGTGCATATAGGGTTTCGTACAGCGAGTGTACATATGCGGCATCCGAGTTGGCAGACCATAGACAAAATCCAACCCTACATAACTGGACTGTTTGATACACCACAAAGGCCTACTCTAATTGTTCATATAGGACCCTACATACGATCAGGCACCTCTGAATTCTGAATCCTTGACCCAAGGGTGTTGCCTTTGAAGCCGCATATGACCTCATTCCAGTCATACATGATAGTACAGGGGAGATTGTAGAGTTCAGAGTTTAGGGTTCAGGGTCCTTATTGTAGGGAGTTTCCCATTGACAAACCCCCCTTCTTAAGGATGTTCTTGCTGGCGCAGACCTGCGTGCTGTGCGGGGCAACTCGGCTGCAGACTGGAAGTGATGGCAACATGTGAGCTATAGTCTAAACTCCTCAATGGGGGTCATATAGGGAATTATATAGGGGAGTGTTATAGAGGATATTAAGGGGTATACTAGGAGTTTAGACTATAGCTCATGTCAGACATAGAAAAACTGCGGATGTCGGCTAGCAGTACCTGGTTTAAGGCTTCAGGTATGTAGTTACTTGTTTTCCCGGTATTGAGAGCAGACGAGGGTATTGCAGATAGTTACAGGCTCTGGAATATGTAAGTCTATACTCCGGACATATATCACGTCTCTACAGTATACCTGTGCGCTTTGTGGCTCCCTAGCGCCGCTTGGGCGCGTGGGAATCTTCTTCCTAAGGCCCTAAGACCCTTATGCGCAGCATTTTTCTCTAACTGGGCCTTAAACCCTAACTCTTGGGAGTTGGAAGCTTGCAACTATAAACCCTACAAACCCTATACCCTAACTATACCCTAAGCCCTGAACTAATCTCAGGTCACTGGAGCCGTATCCCTTCAAGGCTCCCACTTCCTGAATGAGCTGAATGGGCGATCCGTGCTGAAGGCTCTGAGGTCCGGCTCTCAAAAGGGGTTTGGTAATTTTGGTTTAGGGTTCAGGGTTTAGGGTTTAGGATTTAAGGGTTTTAGGGTTCAGGGTGAGTGTGGGGTTATGGTTTAGGGTTGATTGAGTGTTGGGGGATCCCCTAACCTCAGGGACCTGTGGGGTAAAGGTATGAAACTAAGGGAGATATGTAGCAAGAAAAGCCAGGGATCGCAGTTGTTTAGGGTTTAGGGTTTAGGGTGGATTCTGTAACAGGATTCTTGCCGTTTCGCGCAGAGATGATTTTACGAATGAGACACCCCAGGTGCTTGCAGAACATCGCAGAAGCTTGGCGAGAAATGGGTGCTTCTCACTCCCGACAATCATATTCCAGCCCTTGGTGATGGCACTCTCCATAAGAGTCACCAATAGTTGTTGCGACCTCCTTACAGTTATATTGTTATTCTTACAGTTTCTATCATTGCTATTATTCTGATTTTTGTTGTTCTTGTTCTGCTTATCCCTCTTACTACAGTTACTAAATGCTAAGGATGCGAAGCCGCAGGCTGTATACTGGAATTACATCGCAGCTCGCGCAGAAGCCCTGCAACTGCAGGCCACTGACTCCTCGAAGCTACTTAAACCCCAAAGGCATGTAAAATAGTGGAGTTTGGACTTGTTGTAGGAGATTTGGGCTTTTGTCTTGCCTACTTCTGGGGTTCAGGCGTCCCAGTAATACCTCCGCAAGACTAAAATCCGTAAAGGGTTTTCAGGAAGCGGAATCCCTCACTAATGTTGTAAAACAGTAAACCCCAAATCCTAAACCCTAAACCTTCGAACCCTATAAACCCTGAACCCGAGCTTCTTGTTTCAGGTGAGGCAGGCTGGGCATTTGGTGCTAGCAAGATTGGCCTGCCTTACGCGCCGGGGCCCCCAGACTCTGCCTTTCTGCCTCAGGTGTCCGTAGGACAACGTTCGCATTCTTACCATGATAAGGCTACCAACACATGGGTTTAGGACTTAAGATTTAGGGTGTAGGGTTTAGGTTTAGGGCCTAGGGAAACGGGGCCAAGCCAAAAGCTTCAAATCCTAGGCCATGAATGCAGCACCAGCCTAAACTCCAAGCTGACCTACCCCTGAACCTTAGATTCCAGCCCTACGCTCTAAAGCCTACACCTTTTGCGGTCTCTTTGCCCTATACTCCCCGTTAAGTAGATAGAAGATGGCTTTGGGTATAGCCCCAATATATACCCTATCATAACATAGTCGTTTCCATTTTTCTTTTTCATTATCCCTATACATCCCCCACAAAACCCCATGTTCTATCTACTTAAAGGGGGTATAACCCCTATTTTAATATGGTAGTTTCCATTTTCCCAAAAACCCAATAGTCCAACTTAAGGGGGACTATAGGCACAGTGGACCCAGAGCGCCTCCGGTCGCTGGAAGCGGAGTGGGGGCAGCTGACGGACCGGGAGCGGGTCCTGGCCTCAGCTGCCCAAGCTTCTGTATACGTAATATGGGGGTTTCCCAAAATTAGGGGTACCTTTTTGGGGAGTCCCCATAATGAGGAGTATAGTATTTTGGGGTCTATATTGGGGTCCCCTATTTTGGGAAACTACCATATACATATACAGAATATGTGGGGTCAGTCCTTCTTACAGTAACTGTTACCAAAATGGGTTATAGGAGTTTTCAGAATCCCCTTAATAAGCCCCCTTTAAGGACAGTTACTGGGAGGGGAAATGACCCAAAGAATATGCACGAACGTATGCATACACAATACATACATACCTACATACATTCATGTATGTATGTATTTGATTTGATTGAGTATCTATTTATGGGGATGTGTAAACGTACCAATATGTGCGTATGTGTGTTCGCATGATGCTCCGTCAGAGATAGTATCATCAGCCAGCTTAGACCCCACCTCCAACCCTGATTTTCCAGTGAGGTGTCTCTGAATTCGCAGCTTTTTAATAATCTTTTTCGGTCTTGAAAAAAATTGTCGCTGTTTGAAGCAACCTGATTAGAAATCGATTGTATCAAAGTCTTGCTCGGTTTTGAATACACGTTTGCTCAACCAATTTTCCTGACGCGATCGAGCGTCCGAGAACTATTCACAAACCCCCTTCAAACTGCTTCCGGCGCGGGTGGTGGTTCCAAGTTCGCTGGCAATAGTGTAAAACCGAAGATGACAGATCATGCCATGTCAGTTTCAGGAATGCTTGAGCCTTCGTGCCTGGTGTTTTCCTTCGGCTGCTAAGCTCGGGCCCTTGGTTAGCTTTCAGTAAGCCTCCTGATG